GGAGAACCCAGACACACACCCCCCCCCACATTCAGCCTTCGAAAACCACAGCAAGAGCCAGCTGCTGCCAAGAACACTTCACCACTCTCTCTAAAAGAGGGGCTACTTGGCGTCTGGCTTATGTAACCTTGTTTGCAGGCAGACAGGCTCAACAGCCTGCGGAGAGCTGCCAACACACCCAGCACATCTCCTCCTTCATCTCTGCCAGGCTTTGGCGACACGAGAAAGGGCTGCTTACATAACAGCAGGAGGCAGAGAGACAGCCAGAGAGAGGGGCAGAGCCCTTCCCAGTTCCCTTCAGCACACCCGTCTTGGAGAGAGACTTACATAACCAGGATCATTTATACCCTCCCCACCATCTCCTCCTGCCCAGGCACCTCCACTCTTAATGTGCGTCGTGCTCCGCGCTTTGTACAGGGAAGAAGGCTCCACTCCGCCCCCACGCTGACTCACCGCTCGGTGGCAGGCTGTTTGTGTTCTGGATGCTGCTTTGGGTTTTTTCTAACGCGGGGGTTTTTTTTTTGTGTTTCTCAAAACAATTTCTGCACGCAGCCTCCTGGACAGCGAGGGCTTCAGCTGTGGGGGTTTTCCAGCTTGCAGACACGGGGGATGCCTTCACCCAGCCTTGAGTCAATAAACAGAAGGATGTCGGTCTCAGGCGTGACTAAGGCATTTTTTAACAATGTGGCTCCCCCCCTTTCATTCACTGAGGCTATTTCCTGGGCGCTGCCAATGAGAGAACAATTCAGAGAGACATTTCAAAGCTACAATGCCTATCTCCAAAAATCCATGGGATACTGCCAGTATTTGTGGAAAACTGGTAAGGGATCTTGGAACACGCATTCATCCCCTTGAAAGGTGCCACTGCTGCAGCACAAGCAGATTTAATGGCGAGATTACCATTACCCCCCCCAAAAGGAAGAAAAAAAGTTCCTTTTTCCCCCCCGTCAAAAGTGAGAATGTGACCATTCACTTCAAAGTCGCTGCCAAGCCCTTTTATACTACAGCTGTGAAGGCGAGACTGGTTGTCTAAAGCAGATTAAAGCACGGCCTGCAGAGTGAACTCACTCTTCATACTTTCTGAAGACACTTTACATCATGCCTGACGTTAAGGAGAC